AACAACTTAACACTGCTTTAGAATATACGAGGATAGACAGACAAGATAAATAATTGTAATTAAAATCTTTATAACTTTTGTTGTATGAAGTATGTTAGAGTTAAGCAGAACAGTTAAAGCAGAACAGTCTTGAACAAAAGTAACAAAGGGCTTTATTATAAAGGATACAACGAAGCCTGAAATCCTCCCACCAGGTGGGAGACTTGCTATAAACCAATCTGAGCAACAAAAGTGTTCATGCCAGTCAAAATAGCTACAAGGTATATGAGTAGGCCCTCTTCAGCCTGATAATTGTGAAATAGAGTTGACGCTTGTTTAGTTTAAAAAGGCAGTTTTCCCCGAAGGATAAATGGGTACAATAGTTAGCCTGTTGTCTATAATGATACCAAGGTAGTTTATGTTAGCGCACCAAGGGTCTTGGCGTATAGATAAAAGTATTTTATACCTTTCAGCTCTTAGTTATGAGGGCGCCTGTGAAGATTTCATAATAAGGCGTCTCCAGGTGAACCAGAGCTCAATTTTTCAGTTTATGCTTGCACATCTCCAAGAGATAACAATATTGATCTTAAAAATGCCAAAGGTTGTTGTGTCATCACCGAAGCGTAATAAAAAAGGTTGTAGTATCCTAGTAACTCAGTTGACCGAAAATGGTCAAAGCAAGAAGCCTAGGTACGCGCATGTTTCAAGTTCCTGTAGAGTTGAGCATTCTCCCTGATATTAGTAAAATACTGTGTACGGTGTAGAAATGAGTTAATAAAAAAAGGAGGTAATATGTTTTGGGCTGGTCTCTTTTCAATGATGAAACCAGCGCGCCAACCTCCATTAGTAGCTTAATTAACAACAGGAGACCAATACATATGGATAGGCAGCTATGCTTAAGAATGGAATCGAACCATTGACTTTACGATAAAGAGGTAAGATTATACCACTTAACTACTTAAGCAATTTGATAATAAAGTTCTACTTTGGTAGAACAAAAATACCACCCTAGAAATGTTAAATCATTCTACCAAAGTAGAACGGAAAAAAAAAGTAAGATTTTAAAATTTTCTCTTTGTTCGCTAGTCTAACCTGTCGGTCACTTAGCAAGCTAAGTCGACAGGCGATTTGTATAAGCAAATCGTCCCACCAGCGAAGCTTCGAGTGGGATTGCTAGATATAGAAAAAGAAAATTTTGAAATACCTTTTTTTTTCGTTCTACTTTGGTAGAATGATTTATCATTTCTAGAGTGGTATTTTTGTTATACCAAAGTAGAACTTTATTATCAAATTGCTTAAGTAGTTAAGTGGTATAATCTTACCTCTTTATCGTAAAGTCAACGGTTCGATTCCATTCTTAAGCATTTTTTGTTTTTGTAGAATCTCTTAGCCACGTGTTTAATGAACCTCAAGAGTGGTTGGATAGTTTTAGTGACCTCTTCTAAACCTGCCTGGGTATAACCTTTCTTTGCTACTTTGTCAGTACAGGATAGTAAATTTTTTGGTCAATATCCCGCGTTTTGGGGAAAAGTTTGATATAATTGTGGCTACTTAGTGATAAACTAGGGTTGGCATAAATAAGAAGAGTAAGAGTCTCTGTGGCTGGTTCAAGTAAGTTCTTTAGTATGAGAGCTGTTCTACTATCGGGTCCTCGCCTTGACCGAGAAGATTAGTTTTTATTGCAAAATGCCTCGATAAAATTTTTACTTTAGTATTTCTGCGTAAGGTAGGCAGCTTTCGGCTAGTACCATACACCTTTTTGCGAGTCAGTTTCCAGCTTTTACGATAACTGTATATTTCAGCAATTTAAATATATTTCCGGTTATTGTAACCTCTTTTTTGAATTGCAGCCCAGGGGGTTCTTTGTATAGGAAAATATTGTATTTTAATGCATTTTGCAGAACAATTATAATAATTTGAAAAGTTCATTTAGCAAATTGGCTATAGTAAAAAGTGTTTTATAATATAATTGGTTGCTTATGAATTTGTCTTTCAGCACGGTTCTCCTCCACTAGGAGGTAGAAGTAGGCTCTTTAGGGGCGATTCTGATCCTCGAGTTGTGCTATTAATATTAATAGCATTTTTGTACGTCGACTGCGTTAAGTAGAGGTAAAGAAATTGAGAAGTAAATGAGTGAAAAATATTTTCTAAACAGGTAAACAGTTATACTGTTAGGAGTAGCTATATTTTAGGATTTTAATATAAACATCATATATATATGAAAAATTTGGTATATTATTGTGTTGTTCGGCATTGCATTCTACCCTCTATTAAAAAATTATGTTAATTAGTAAATGTATCCCTGCTGTACTTACCTAATTTGTATCCATTTACTTGCAAATTTACACAAATTTTTGAATGATTTTTCCTTTTATGCTGTTTTATCATACCATACGGCGGTTCCCACTATAAGAGGTTGTTTCGTGTGCTCGTTAGGGCTATGGTAAGATTAAGGTGAGTAAATTTTTTTTAGATGGATATATGTGATAAAAGTGGTTGTGTTCAAATCTTCCAAATTTTTTAAATAAAAATATCTAAAGGTCACCCAGCAGAGCAGGCCTCTTAAAAAAAAATCTTAAAAAGGTCCTTTTAAGCATTTATATCTAACGGATATTCTTATAAGTGATATTAGGTACTTAGTCAGGGTTTTGCCTTATCTTGTTTGGCTTACTAGAACGGAGTGTCTGCAATCTTTTCTTACAAACTGCCCAACCTACTCGTTGGTAAGCTGCGTAATTAATATCTTCCCAGAGACAAGTTAGGCAATCTACTGATGAGTAAAGCCTTACTTAACTGAACTCTTGGGCTTAAAACTTCAGTAACTGTAGCTTGAATGTAGTATTATATACTTAAGTTATAAAGGTACGTGTAGAAAGTAAATTAGTTGGTATAGTGGCTCAAAAAAAGTTATAATTTTAAGTGAACAGCACTTAACTAAAACAGAATAAGCACGATTCAATCAGTTTTTTATTATAAAAGCCTCAAATAAGACTTATGTAGCTTAATTACAGAGAGAACGGAGCAGGGTGAATCTGAACTAGGTTAAGTCAACGGTATCTTTTTAAAATTCTTTCCTTATAGTACTAGGTAAATCTCCTCTAGTACTAAAAGTTGCTTTCTTTAAATCGTTACTTTCAGGTACAAGCAAACTAGTATTGATATATGCTTTTTTTGTATGAATATCCTCAGTTAAAGTAGTAGTTATACCTTCTGGTGTGGAGGCTTCCGGAAGTGAGTAATAACCCGGAAAATCTTGGCTGATAGAGTTACGCAAAGTGCATGGTAACAAGTTTGCTCTATTAAAGTTAAGATCACAATCACTGTCGTGTAATCCCAAGTTAAGATTTTTAAATTTATTATTGTATGTAGCAGTGTTCAGTTGACGAGTTTCTGTTTCAACGGCTTTAGGATTTACTTCCAGCTTAGCACGTTTATGTTTACCAAAAACTTTCAATTTTGTTCCTGTGCTGCAAAGTGGGAAGCTTTTAAATATTCGTTCATTTTTATAATATTTGTGTAACTCTTGGTGGAGTTTCTCAATAGGCTCCCTATCAGCTTTGCACAAAAACTTTTCTATTTTTTTTTTTTCGTATGATAACTCATTTTCAAGTATATTTAAATATTCTAACCTCTCTGTAAACTTTTTAAGCACTTCAGAAATATCTTCTCCCAAGTTTTCACTTGTGGCTCGAATCATTCCCTTATTAAAATCAACTCTTGGTATCTCTGAAAAAGAAGAAAAGGTACAGTTTGTTAAATCTGCAGAGCTCGTTTTTATTTCATCATCAGAGTCATAATTTTTTGAAAACTCTGCTGAAGGCTCAAGGGCCATCGTAGTTAAAATGATTGCTATCAACACCTATGAACCGTTTTCGTTAGCACTTGTAGCTGTTCAGTAAACGGCTCTAAGAGGGCGAGGGTTTTTACGATAAAAAGTGGAATTTCAATAGATATTCATGTTCTCCGTCCGAAAGGGTTTTTCTTAATAGGAAAGAAGGTGAATGAGGGGTGAGGCTGCTTGTAAACTAAATTGATACGAAGACTTAATAGCAGGTAAAAAAAGGTAAAACGCGCATTTACTGGCAAGAAATCGATTTTATAAATAAATTTATTGTTTACGTACAAATAGCTGCTAGTAAATAGTTTATAACAATTACAATAAAATTCATTTTTAGAAGAAAAAGTTATAGTTTATAATAGTTAGTTAATATTGTTATATAATTAGGAAAGTGTCTAATTTTAGTTTCCCAACTAAGGAACTAATATACCCAAAAATATTTTTAAAGTTACATTTTATTTAAAATTGGTTTCTCGTTAATCACAAAGTGTAAACCATTTAAAGTTACCAAGGAGAAACATATATACATTTTGCCCCCCGAAAGCTTTCATATAACATAGTTTAATTTAGAAACCTGCTTTAAACTGAATTATTTTTTTCCTCCACTTATAAAGTATGATATTTATTACATAATCTATCAACAATATTATCTCTTCACAGCATACATGTTATATTGATACAAAGTACTTTAGGAATTAATTAGTGCAAACAGTTAGTTAATTCAAATTGCTACAATTTGAACTTAAAAATTTTTGAAATTTAATTTTTTTTGGCTTTTTTGAGATGTTTTACGCGCTTAGGTTTTAAAGAGTAAGATATTCTCCATAATATCAACTTTTAATACTTTGAGCTATAACCCTTTCATTTAAACAAAAGCAACTACGGCGAAATATATAGCTAAACACTGTCTAAATAATTTAAGGTGAATTGAGTACAGCTCCTCTCATCAACTATGATTGCACGCAAACCTCAATAGTTATTTGCTTAAGTCTCGGTAAGTAATCTCGTTAACGTCGGTCGAGGTTAGTATACGTTTGTGAAAATCGAAGTTGCAGGCTGTAACAGTCATAGTAATAATTATTAACTATCACTTTTGGGGAAATCGTCTTGCTGCTTTTAGAAACAGTTTTAGCGGCAGTTATTGCCTTTATTGTTAGTTATTTCACATATAAAAATCCCATTACTACAAGCTGGACATCAAATTACAAGTTTATAATAAAATTAAGAAATCACACAAACATCTCCGCTCAGCATGACCAACACGTACCCCTTCGTAGTAGCAATGGAATGTCGATGATAGGAAATAATAACAGAGACAACCACCCGACGAACCTCACCGGCATTGCAATCAATGATCCTCAACTTCAAAGCCAAGATCGCATTTCCACACAGCAGCCGGACTTGTGCTCGTGCAATGGCGTAGACTTCAGTGACAAACACGTGTATGAATTCACTAACAGAATCTGTCTAGAAGTCCGTGTAAGCCACCAGGAACGGCGATGGGTCGGATAACTTTACCTCACGAAGAGCATTTTCCTTAATGAGGAACAGCTCAATGTGACTCAAATACCGAACGACCCTTCTTCCAACGACATAATTTAGTGTTGTCATTTCTACAAAGACAGTTTTTTCTTTAAGAGAATCCCGCGAAGCCTCAAAAAGGGACAGGTATGAATAAGTAAGGAGAACAGCAACTGTGTTGGCGCGCTTAGTTATACACAAGTACAGTGCAAGTTCTAAAAAGCATAGCTACTTGAGATTTGGCTTCTTCTGAACCAAAGAGGAGGTCGTCTAGCGGCCAGCAAGTTGACCATCATATAAAGTTACATAAAGGTTTTTGAAGTACCCGATTTTTCCGAAAATTGTTTGCTTTTTGAGGGCACCACCATGGCGGAAGTCAATATCTGCGCAATGTTCTTCTCTTCTTCGCTCATCTGCGTCCAAATGGTTACGAAAAAAAATTCTTAATGTAAACTTTCACGAACCGTGACGTCAAATTTCAAATCCAAGACACAACAAGGGCTAAAATGCCGCAGTTTAAAGCGCAATGACTGTTTTATCTCTTTAAAAAGTCCAGAAAAGGACTGATTGATGCGAAACGATTCGTCTAGAGTTGCTTGGTGCAAAGAGGTTATCATCTAAGGCAAAAAGAAGGTATGTTTCGGCAATTTAAAGAAAAGTTACCAATGAACCTGCGCATTAATAAAACTTAAATGTTCTGTCCCCGGCGGGACGGCCTGAAGCGTTGAAAACTGCACTGAAGGCCCAAAGAGTGGCGGTGGCTCCATGAGTATAGCAAGGTTATCCTGCGTAGGTATACATGGATATTTACTAAGGCATATAACAAAAAGTCACAAAACTTCGTCCTCTTCATCGTCAATTTCAAGCGCAAGAGATCGTCTTTTAGCCAATTCAAGAGCAATGTTTTCAGAAATATTTTCGTCGCTCGAGTCGGTTTTCGAATCCGCGTCGCTGGAATTATAATAAACAGCGGCACACTAAAAAAGATCATCTGAGCAACTAAAGAAACAAACTCCGAATCAGAATTCCATGCGACACTTTCCATGCGGGCTCTCCTCTGCTCCCCGCTCTTCTCGATAATCTCGGGATATGCGTAGTTAGCCACAAAAATCATTCGTAATTTAATGGTTGCACACCAAAAAATTTAGTGTAACTGCGCTTAAGTGTTTAATAACTGCTCTATAAGAAACTTTGCTTGATATACAAAAAAAGTTATCTCTCAATTTCTAAAGGTAAAACAAGCACAGCCGCTTATAAGGTGGCGGTACTTCATACTTTTTTCTGAATGGAAACCAACTTTTGATCCTCTTCGTCAAGAACTTGAAGCGAACGACTAATTTTAATAGGAGGAAGCAAAGGAAGGCTCTTTATGAAAACGGCAGTTCCCACGGCCAAAGCTGAGATCACACTTTCGCTTATGGAAATCTTAAGGCAGATGACAGTTGGAAGCTGGGAATTATATTCTCGTTGAAGTGCAATACTTGAACCGACAAGCCAAAGATGGCGTTCATAGCATGGAGCTTCAACTTATTGAGCAGTTGCCGGTGGAGCTCGTATTCAATAAACGGCAACACCTCGCTGACAACAATGGCGTTGCTTTCGCCTATAATGATAAGAAGAAAGAGGGAAGAAGCCTAAGAAAAAATACCCTGCAGCTTCTTCTTGGCCCGACAAACACTCGCTTCCACACACAAGCTCTCTATTAGGAGGCTTCCCAGCTGAGACCCTAGGGGCCGGGTGAGGCAAACGGAGCAACCAGCACTATAGAAAAAGCAAAAAAAAAATACCCGGTTGCAACTCGAGCGTGCAAATAAGGATATCGGGCACATAAAATTTTTGACAAGATCTGCATTTTTGGGGTTTGTTGGTGAAAGGAGAATCTTTTTTAGTGAAAGGGACGTGGGAAAACCCGGCAGGGCATACAGTTTCTGGATAACAGTATATAACATAGCAGTTAATGAAATAGTATTTTTAGATTACTGCACCTAAGTCTCTAAATATTGAGAATAAAGGAAGTTACTCATTAATTCCATTAATTTAAAGAATCAACCATTTAAAACTATTGTTAGTACTGCTAATGTTCCCTTACTTTTACTCTACATTTGTTGTGCAGCCCAAGGGAATGCTATTTGCAACTCTACGAACAATATTAGCAGAACCAAAAAAAGTTTGTTACCTTTTTTCTATTCAATCACAAGAAATAAATATTCAGAAAGGAATACCGGCCGAGTTATTCGCGACTCCGAGGAGATTGCAAAGTTTATACTCCACCTTTTTATTTGAAACAGTTTTGGAAAGACTTGCTATTTTATCTTTTCCATAAAACGTAGGGCTCTGCTATATATTATAAAAGTGATAATGTTTGTAATATAATTAAAAATTTAAAAAAAACTTTGTATGGTTCATCCTTAGCTGAAGTAAATGCCAAATTTGCGGCTGTTCCAGTGGCTGAGAGGATGCAAAGCTCGTCACAGATGGTAGTGGTTTCGGTATAGCCAATAACCACCGAGCATCCAAGCACTCTGGCACAGTTTAAATCGTTAAGTCACGTGTATACGATAAGAGAGTCTATTGACCCCCTCTGCAACGCTTAAAAGAGTATTTAGTGTATTCTATAAAGCCAGCAGTGCCGGAAAAGTCACGTGTTCAACGCAGCATAGAAGAATAGTAACTTTGCGTGGGAGTCAATTTCACTGCGGATTTCATGCCACCATGCGTCTCTGGTTTCCGGCTCATCTGGCTCCTGTGCAACAGAAAAAATGCTTATTAGCCACCAAAGAAAGTGTATTCAGAGACAACTTTGGAAAAACATCCAAAATGAAGTTAAAAAGGGTAAGCGTCGTTTATAAAAGGCTACTTCTATTTTACTAAGAAGCTTGACGGATCTCGCGGTAACGAATCCCCCAATAGACCTCAAATGTAGTAAAAAGTTAAAAATCAAAGTTGAAAAGTAGTAATCATACACATAAAGTATCAAATTTATATATAAGGAAAACCAGACTAGAAAAACTTCAAAAAGCAAAGGAGGACGACGTACTGAATAACAGAGGACGGCCAATGGCTCAGCGTATAAAAAGGGAACACTGACTTTAAGTGGTGACTGTAGAAACGATGCACGGACAAGTCACCCTGTCCAGATCTATTCAATGAGCCTTTGCATTGTGCTCGTGCTGGATCTGCACCGAATGGCAGTCAAGCTATGGATGTTGCCAGTATCCAATATGGAGGCAGACCCTGAAAGAGGAGGAGCGCCGGCCCCTGCGAAGCCATGGCAGGTTCAAATTCTTGCAGAGTCACCACAGTCCCGATACCGCGAGCCACCAGCCCATACTCGCCTGTCAATGGGCTAATCTTTAATATTCCTTGACCCACACGCTTAAGCACGCAATATTCACCTTCAATATCAAAGTCCTGCAGGTAGCCGACGATGGCGTTGCCCCCCAGATCCTAACATAAACGGGAAGCTAAGAGTAATCCCAAGTCAAGCAGAAAAGATGGTCAGTACCAACGCCTTCAGACCAAGTTTCCTTTTCAAAGAACCAGTGAGACGGTAAAGCAGACGGACCCGAGCATCGTTGCTGGCTCGATTGGACCGAAAGTTGTCAACCTCAACAGATACATAATATATATTAGTAATAATAATAATAGTAAAGAAACGGCTTTCATTTAAGAAAGAATATAAAGACTGGTTATGCTAAAAAAAAAAAAAAAGGACAAATCCAATACCCACTGGTATTCAGGATCCGTGCTGACCACCAGTTCTTCAACGAATGAGTGAACTTTGATTAAACTGTAACAACTCGGAAACTCATTCACTAAAAATAATTTTTAATTATTATAAGAAAGAATTAGTTTAAAATTTATAGTTTCAAATAAACTTTGAATAAATACAAAACTTAACAAGCGAAAATTTTAACTCCAATTGAAGTATCGCGAAATTTGTTTTCATTATTGAAAAAGTGAAGTTTTACAATTAAATTAATTTCGCCTCTTATGCCTAATAAAATATGATTAGCTAGAAATTGCAGTGTACAATCAAAATAACACTGTCGCAATAAGTTATATACCTAAACTTCCTCTAAAACTGTTTATAATTTAAAACACTACAAATCAATAGAGAAACACCTCATACCTCTTAAGGTGTCGTATATGGGATGCCAGCCTTGAAGGAGAGTGGGACCGTTAGTCATAGTTAACGGGCTTAAATCTATATACACTTTTCCAATAGCGTCATTGGCGCTGTAAGAGTCGTGATCATAAATCCTATAAAATGGTTTTAAATAGAAATGTTTAAAAGAGAAGCTACTTTTTCATATAGATAAGGAAAGGTTTCAAAAAAAAACAAAAGTGTAGTATATACATTATATAATGTAATAACAGATCTTGAAAGGATTATCAGGAAATAACAAGGTAAAAGTTGATCTTACAACTTTAAAAGCTAATAATAAAGCAATATTAATTAAAATAACTAGAAAAGAAAAGGTGTGTTTGGGTTGTGAAGGAAAGAAACTGCGTGTGAAAAGTAAATTATTTATAGAATTAGTAGTTCAAATGTCTAACAACAAACAAACTTAATTTCAAGGATATCGTTTTGTATTTCGGCATCTACTTCAAATCTAAAGTCGGTGTTCCAGGTGGGACAAAGTGTTTTTCGGCAAACACTAGTTTTAAAGCACACATCATTGAATTTAACCTTTTAAATTAAAAAAACTTCTGTTATCAAATTTTAATTTAAGAGCTGAAAAAGGAGAGCCGGAGGCTAAAAACCTCAACAAAGGCATCAGTGGACTCCGTACTTTTATCCATTATCGGGAGATCCCTAGCTGATATAACCCGTACCTTTTATGATATTAAAATGATATATTAAGTGTCGCTCTAAAAACTTGAGGCTCATTATTTGGCATACCTTCAAAATGGCAGGCATTTTTTTCTCATCAACTACAGTTTATAAAGCGCGAACCAACTTTTGACTAGCGACAATGGCTACTCACGAGACAAAGAAATGGTAATGACCGTGTAATGTATGTCTATCGCTTCAGTATGTAGTTAAGACGGGTCGTAGTCCCACACGGCAACTACATTATAAGGGGAAATATTATTAATAAAACGGTTTGCTTTAATATATGTATATAATTCTTCTAACTTTCACAAAAAAATTGCACTGGTTTTTTAAGTTAGGAACAATTTATTTATGTGTGCTTTGGTGCATTTCTTTAGTTTTTTGTGATTATTTTTAATTGTCTCTGATAGAATATTTTATTACTCTGAAATTGAATAAGATTGAAAGCAAACAATACACTAACTTATAAAACCAATAATCTTCACTTGCAAAAACTATAATCAAAAATATACTCAGAAGGGTACCTATCCCCTATGAACCATTTGTTAACTAAAACTACCAAAATTTTACTAAATAATAATACATTTTTTTGTTAATTAAGTGTGTAATGTCATAGTTTGGGAGACTTTCCACAGAGATAAGGTATTTAAACCATTATATTGAGTTTGTTTAAAAGACATTCATATTATATTTTCAGTTTTGTCAAATTTTGTTATTGCTCATATATGATATGAGAAATCGCACTGAGGGGGCCCATATTCACTCGAACATTTACAGTCAACGAGCTTGTTGCTAGCTGCTTTTTTGTAATCAAGGCCTATCATGGTAGCCATTGCCAAATTGTCTGAGATTAGGGGTTAGTAACGAGATTTATGCAGGAAATGCTATTCCATTAAATTGTTTTACAGCTAGTTTAATAACTTTCTTGTACTTAATTTATACTATAAATCTCTTCTTGCTACAATGCCTTGTTTAACGATAAACAGTGATAAGGAGTAACCAGTAAAAATCTTGCCGTTTCTCGCGTCATTAGTAGATTTAAACTTTAGCGGTGGCTCATTCCATGCGTTAATAAGAATTCTCTAAAGCAAGGGCGGCCGATTTTTTTTGTTCTAGTGCCACTTAACTTAATTAGAAATATCTAACTCACCACTTTTCCATTTCTTTTTTCATTCTTCTGAGACGTAATGCGTAGGTATCCCTACCCTACTATTTCATTTAAATCGAACAGGAAAAAGTTTTACTTCTTTAATTTTTTTAGATAAATATTGTTAATGATTTTATAATAAAATGTATTAAACAAAAACTCTATCCCAGATGTTGTTCGCTGATTCAACGCATATAAACGAGCATTTGTGCAGTGTCAGTTACATCACAATTCTCGTTTAAAGCAAGAGAAAGGAGTGTCCGCATTCATACGTTGAAGTATTTGTTTACAAAATCGTAATCCATTCCTTCGATTCTTCTCATAACAGTATTTCTTTAAAAGGACAATACCGTCTACTCTTCTTAAAATTTATGGGTCTGCTACGGCTTTAGCAAAAATTTATAAACATGGTTTTACTATTTCTTCAGTTGTAGAATAAACTTTTTTTTTCCTAGCGAAAAGTGAAACCTATGACACTGATCATAGTTTCTAGTGAAGTACTAGCCTTCCACTCTCAACCCTGGTCCTATGGGGATACTTTGTATTGAAATCGATGTATTTGATTAAAATGCCGTTCTGAATTAAATTTCTTTTGGCACAGCTACAAAAGCATTACAAATGAGAAATTCTGACTTAGAACTAAGGTTTTGATAAACAAAACTGGTGCTTCCATTCGATGTTAAATTCGCGGAGCAATATAATCTTGGTACTTTCTTTTTTCGGCTATAGTAAACGGCTTATTTAGACTCATAATGGGACTACAAGTATACTACTAGTTTTCTGTCAATGTTATTAGAAAAGTAAAGTCAGGTTATCTTTTTACTGTTAAATGCAAGATACAGTACAGCACCACAATAGTCAGCACTCTATCCACTGGTGTGTTCACTGTTGGAGTAGGGAGCGGTGGTGGAGGGAGTCGAGTGGGGGTAACACTAGATTTAAAGGGTGACAAACATTACAATTAGCCCTCAATTCTTTTTTATATCTGCTCTTATGAATCATTGCACATTGAAGGACTAACTTAGTATAACCTCTTCAATAAAATTTATTTTTTTCAGAAATTGCATATAACTTTGTCAACAAACTTCTCTTTTTAGTTTTAAGCTTTATAGCTCCAACTTCCTAGTTAATTGCATATAGTACTGCTGTTAGCCGTAATTACTATTAAAGAAATTAAGTTTTAAGCACAAACCTCGTACCCAAATTATTATTGTGTACGGAACCAAAAAAATAGAAAATAATTTTTCTTTAAAATAAAGCAGATTTTAAGTTGCTTTTAGAAATTCCAACGTTTATTTCACAAAGAAGTGCATTTACCCTTACTGGGCAACTTTAAAAGAAAAATGTCTTAAGGTTTGTGGGCTTAGAAGTTGCAAACCCAGTGAGGCCTACTAACTAAACGTTGAGATAATGTCTTAAAAAAAATTTAGCAAGGTTGAAGGGCCTCCTACGTTTACATAACTGGAGAGTAACACATGTAAGAAGACTTTCACCCTCCTAATTGTAGCACGTGGGAAAGTTATTTTATACATAAAAATTAATAATCCTAAAGAAAAAAAAAATTATTCTACTTTTTTATACTTTATTTAATTAAAAAAAAAGACTTAATAATTCAAAAAATTTTAAATTATAGCTATATAATTAAATGTAGTTTTGACAGTCGTTAACCTTTTAACCTAAATTTTGGCTATATCCCAGCTCCACGTTCAGCGATAATTATCTGCGTGGTCTGCTCTTGGATCTTTTCCCCTCTTTTTTAGGCGTTGTTTTCCTGTCTTCTTTAATAATTATTACTTGTGCATTGTATTAAGATTCATTAACTATTATTTTTTACCCTCTTTTTAGGTTTTAAAGAATATTAGACGAAATGAAGTTAGTTAGGTAATTTTTTTCGTGCTCTCTGTACGTTTTTGAAATGAGTTTAATAGGTTTTTGATGAAGTTAAGTGGCGAAACTGTGACAGTCGAAATTAAAAATGGCTCTATTATTAAAGGAACTATAACAGGTTTGTTCAAGTAAAATATTAGTACATTGCTCTAATTAACTTATACTTAGTTTTTTTTTTATTATTATTTTAGGCGTGGACGTTAGTATGAATACTCATCTTCGGGCAGTTAAATTTACCGCTAAGAACAAGGATCCTATTAGTCTAGATACTCTTAGTGTAAGAGGGAACCACATTCGTTATATTATTCTTCCCGATTCCCTACCTTTGGACACACTACTCATTGACGATACTCCTAAAATAAAAGCAAAAAAGAAGGAAATCGCTTTAGGAAGAGGTCGCGGAAGGGGAAGAGGTTTTTAGTTTTTATTTTTTGTCATAAGAATATATGACTCTCTACTATAAATTTACTACAAGGCCGTGGACTTGCCCGCAGGGGAAGAGGTCGCGCTAGACCCTGGTATTATTTTTATTTTCAGTCTTTTTACCTATACCCTTTCTACCCCTTTTTGATTTTATATAATACTTTTATGGGTTATAAAGTTAAATATAATTTTTAACTTTTTACTAAGAGCTGAGAAGCCACTCCTTTACTTTTGTTGCAATCGAGAATTTCTTGAGAATTCTTGCAGCTCACTCATTTTTTTATGTTAGAACAAGAAATTCCTTGTATATTTTTGTGTAATTTTTTTTTTTGCCTACAATAAAAAAGAGCAGTTTTTATTTAACTCCGTCTAGTTCGTGGGATGCTGGCGTAGTAGACACTATGCAAATCTATTTTTTTCTTTTTTGAGGGAGTTAACTATCTGGTCGTTACGGCTTAAAAACTTCCCTCAAAGATTGTATCGAAAGAAATTTTATAGCTTTTGTTTTGCTCTTATTTTATGGCGGTTTTACTTAGCTTTTACTACGCGTTATCCGCCTTGTCCATAAGCAGGCATTATTGTTAACACCTTGAGTATTAAAATAAATATAAAGGAACTTAGAGACGTTAAACTTTACTCAGAACGCAAATCAGCTGTAGCTTGAACTATTTTAGACAATTTGACCTGACTTTTTACAGCAGCTAATTGAATCTACCAACTTATATATAGTTCGTCAGAAGAATTCTTATAGAGAGGATTTTTTTGAGTTTTTTAGCCTTTAGTTTATTATATAATTCAAGATTCTTTTTGGTACAATGCTTACGGTTATAAATTATTAACGAAGACTCTTTCAGTAATAAAGTTAAGTGTAAAGCAAGTTATATTTGTTGACACAAATCTTAACAACTTGGATCCTCAAGATAGTAATATCTCTTGTTTAGGAAATAAATAAGCACTACTTCCTTGTAATTTACTAACAAGTTGTGGAAATTATTGAAGGGCTAAATAATAACCTACGGACTTAGATTTACGCCAAACATAGTTTATTTACTATTAAATAATATAACCAATAAAATAAAATTTTATCGAATGCTATATTCATTACCTTTGAAGTACTTAACAACTAAACAAGATAAACATTATTTCTTACAAAGTGCTTATAACATCTGTCTTTTTAAACTAAAATTTTCTTAGTTATTAGTTTAGCAACTCCTTTTATACTCATCAAGAAGAAAATGTGCAAGTTCTAGCGAGCAATCTCGAGTCCCGAACAACCACTTACATTGAAAATATAAAGTCAATAATGCCACCATCACATCTCGCCACTTTAACCCTCTAGACAACGCGTGCTCCCGCCTTTCAGCATAAAGTGGTGGAACTTAGCTAAAACAAACCTGAGGCCTCCGGAAAGTATCAATTAGCTTTGCGACTAAAGTCAAGTTTTAAGTTTTTATTTATAGCACGCCGGTGCTATAATGACCATTGCAAGGGATCAGAAAATCATTTATTAAAGTATCAAGCCCTTAACACAATCAGTGGCCGCAGGATTTAAGTTTCCCCTGTTTAATGAGGGCGCAGGTCAATATGCCATCAACGAAAACTGATTCACTATATCATAACAACTAAATAGTGAAGCAGCAGAAAAATAATAAACCAACTATGCCATTATAGATTGAATAAAATAAACTATTTCTTAGCCAGTTCTACCAAACAGGTCTAAAAATGTTTAGGCCAAGTAAGTGACGTGCCAGTGAATATGCTTCGTTATTGATCTCTATTTTTATTAGAGTCCCAATTTGAGGAAAAGTACGAAATTAAGCAAGTACAATATTAAAAGATAAGTGGCATCTTATACGTGTGTCACACTATATTTTGTGGTCCAGGCTCTTTAATGAATAAACTTACTGCCATAATATATCTTACTCTGCTCAGGGGCGACTTCTTAGCTCGAGTTTGAAGCTTTGAAGACAGGACTATGTATTAAGTTTAGTAATAATACTGACCAAAGAGGAAGCAGCCCTTAGCGTAAAGAGGAGACATGGCGCAGTTCCTCTCAAGAGTTATTACTCTATTCAGACCCATACCTTATTATTTAAAGGGTCTCAAACGGAGGATATGGCAAGCTTTGGCGGAAAAGTTTCTCAGATGTGAGCGGAGAACACGTAAGCCTTTGTTGTGCGACACGTGCACAACGACAAGGGAAAAGGATACTAAAAATTAGTGTTCATAAATCACTGACTTTTATTACTGTTAGTGAACCATATATAATAATTATAAAGCATAAAATGTTGATATACTGATAACAGTATGACCAGAACTGTAACGGTATAATCCCCGCTAAGTTGCATAAATTAGCGTGCGCTGCAAATTACCAGAGACTATTTCTAAAAAAATTGATTGAACTTTAAAGGAAGGTTTCTAATTTATTTAAAATACAATTTTCAAACATCCTTCGCACTTTCCAGTGGCGGCCGTAGTAAAAATAGTAATTCTCCGCCTTGGAAATCCCATATTTCGGAGCAGTGAAAAGTGATGTTGGAAAATACAACCGCCCACTCAAAAAACGCAAAGATCGAAAAAACTAGTGACCGTAATTGAATCAATAATTTAAAGAGGAAGATTTATATATAAAAAGTTAACTCAAAGAAAAAATACAAAATACTAGTTAGCTGTAAGAGATTCGTAACCAAAAAGTTAAGAAATGAGAATTAATACAATTGAAAAGTTATTAATTAAAGAAAATATTACATATTATACAGTAAAGAACTAAGAAACCAGAAGCGACTAAACGAAAATTATAATCTTTTTGTAGCTTCGAAAAAAATAATAATTTGTCTGAAACTGTTTTTTTTCTCTTTTTTATAAAGATTAATAATTTATATTAGTTGCTCTCGCCGTGGCGCTTTCGATACAGAGCAAAGTTACAATAATATTCTAAGTAAACAACATAACAAAATGGAAATATTAAACAACTTCTTTTTAAACTTATTGTATATGCAAAAAGACAACAAGTTAATAAAGAAATTTATTAAAATGATTCTTGAATGTTATTAGCCCATATCACACTTTGTACAATAAATATACATATATTAACGTTATAATAATATTCCGTAAAAACTTAAAGGCCCCATAATCTTAAAGCACACCACTTAATCTAAAGTACTAAAAAGTATTACAATACTAAGTTCAACTGGTTACTTAATAAATAACATTTTACATTTGAAAAACTAAAATTTAAGTAATCAAAGTTTTATACAAGAACAAAATTTTTTTAAATATTAAAAAAACAATAAGTAAACCAAAACTACTAAAAAAAGGTGGAGTATTTATCGCAGGCTAAACTAAAAAAATATTTATATTATAAAAATTTAGATAAAAGAAGTAAATTGAGGTGTTTATATTACAGTAAGAGGATATATATAGCTTTAAGTCAGAGAAAATAAATTTTACTGTACCATACGGCTCGCAGTAACTATTGTGTCTATAATACAGATAAGAGCACAGAAAAACTGAAGTGACGTTCACTACCTAATAGAGACAATAAATTTAAATTAATAAATGAGATAATAAACTACTGTTTTAACTTTTTTTTTCACTAGCAGAAATAACTAAAATATAAGCTTTCTACAACTCTTAAGTAATAAGTAGGTAAAGTTAACCGCGGAATATTGCTTCCACTTTAGAGAAGTACTACCTCGGAAAATAAAAGATCTCGGCGCCAAGTAAAGAGTAACCAAAAGCGTATGTAACTCATAAAGTAGTAAGGTATAATTTTGTAATAATAAAAAGTCAATAAATTATACCGAACTAAAAATAAGAAATGCAATGGTCGAACTTTGATGAACGAAATGATTTTCTTTAGAAGATATTGAAGTTAAAAGTAGAAGAGACGCATATTCTAGAACATATAACTTCATTATAAGTATGATAAAATGCAAAATATTGAAAGAGGAAAAATAAAAAAAAGTTACCCAGTATACAGCCAGGTTCAAAAATTTGAACATGGTTTCATAAAAATTGAAAGACTTTAAAGTATAATAATTATAATATACTACGCCCGAAAGAAGACGAAAGCCAATCATTAAAGAAATGCCTATTCTCCACACATAACTTTTACAAGGGGTGCTAGTAAAATAGATATGGTGAAAGTATAGTAAAACTTACGCCTGAGGAGTATAAGCTAAACAGGAGCTTATTGAAGGTATGAAGTTAGGAACCTACCTCACAAATTGGATATCAATTTAAAGGTTTAATAGTAAGTCATATTAATTTTATAGAATACAAAGTAGTCTTTCACGATATCTCTGCAAAACTGAAAATAAATCACTTTACTTTGCAATGGGTTCTTGTAGATTCCTCAAAATAAAAAATTATAGTCCATAGAAGGCAAAAGAACAAAGAAAATAGTGCGGGACCAACTGCACACCACACTGTGTAAAAATGTGGGATCCTATTAAAACTTTGTTAGTTATAATTTACTTAGGACGCCACTGATTGTTCAATTTAAAGCGAAAAGTTCTCTTTAAAGGTAATAAGGAGGTGCGACGGTTAATAGTAAGATAAAAGTGAAAAATAATAATTCCTCACTAAAACTTCACTCATAGAGAGATAGCGGAATTTTTTAACAAGCAAAAAGAGCAAGCAGTAGACTAATATACTCGGAAGGGAAGGGTGTCCACTTTACAACCTTGAATGAGTACTCCCCTATAGACAAAATGTTCCGCACTCATTTATTTGCCAGCAATGTGAATAGTGCCAGATGGCGCGTAAAAGCCATACTTCCGTTGGTCTGCGCTTTCTTAGCCTAACTTATACGTAGTTGTCCTGGGCTATTAATTAAAATTTATGACAATCTTTTTTAAGTTTTATGTAATATTTCACTAGGAAAACTAGTGCCAGTTAGAGTTAATTACCGGAAGCCTTAGCTTAAGACCCAACCTGATTCTTTATTAACTATAAATAACAAAAATAAGAAGCTGGTCTATATCCTATGCACTATAAATTATTGCTCTAAATGCGGATTAAAAAATACATAATTATAGAACATTAAATGTAATATAATTTTTTATTTTAGTTTCAATGGGTAGCTATTTACTCGTGAAAATTTCCTTCGCAGCAGCTGACTATTTTAACATTTTATACTGTTAGTTAAAGCTTGCGCATTTTTTAATTCGGACCTAACCACGTTGGTTTAAACTTTTGTTTTTAGTCATTTCTCTCTTAAATTACTGGTATATTCTTGGGGGCTATATTAGTTTATTTAAATTTTACGGTATATTTTTTTTTGTTCAAAAAAAAATTTCTAGCCCTTGGCTTTAAACTAGACTGTGAATGTGTTTATTTGAAAGGGGAGAGCCTGCTTCTACAAAATATTGATAATGCTAAGCGAAGAGCTAAGAGCACATGACAAAATAACCTTTTTAAAGGCTGCAAGGTCTATTATTACTTTATTATAAACTTTATTTGAAGCCAAATTTTTTACTCACTGAATATGAGATAAAGATTTTGTAAAATACCATTATAATAAATGAGAAAATGTTTAAGTCACAGCTTAAGGTTTCCTGTCGCGCTATGAAATTTATCAATAAAATTAGGTATTGTTTAATTATCTAAATTTTTTCTTAGACATATTATATGCTTATCGAAGGGACTTTCAAGTGAATACAATAGTAGTGGAAGTATTTAAGTTTTAACCTATAATAACCTATAAGTCAGTGGTAGCTGGTATACTTAAAAAGAAATTAAGATAACGTCGGCTTAACGGCATAAAGAGACATTGCCGCGAAGTTTAGATAAAACATCCGTCATGAATTTAATAATACGTCTGCTTCTACCGTCAAAAACAGATGTGCTTGTTTTGTCTTAAAAGTGAGTCTATAAAAAAACAAGAATCGAGATCAATCATGGTCTGCCCTTCGCTTGATCACGTCCGTGGTCTGCATTTGATATGATAGTCTATATTCAGTTGGTCTTTGAAGCATATAAGTTTAGAACTTATACATAAAGGTTTTATTAAGCTAGTAAGGATAATTACAAGTTACACATATATAATATAACCAAGCCTTTACACTAAATAACACTGTAATTTTTAAAATAAAAAAAGGGATGGGAATAAAGTTCGCACTTTTATATGAAAAACGTCTACATTTTTAATTCTAAAACTTATGTATTATTGCACTTGAAGTATTTATTTCGATTCAGCCCAGTTTTACACCTTTCTAGATTGAATCTGGTAAAAATTTAAAAATATATTCCGTTTTTTAGTTTTCGTAAACGCCCTCAGGTGAATATGGTTACTATTGTTTACAGTAGTAAATTACTATTCGATGAAACTGTAAAAGGCATCACAAGTGTGAAAGTTCGTGATAAGCCACGGAGGGATGTCCATTCACGCACTTTAACAAAGTCTTCAGAGAAAGGAGTAAGAACAAAACAGGTACCATAACTACAAAGGACAAAACCTATCCAATTTAGTTTTTATTTAAATTTATATCTAATGTAACAAACTATGAGATTTGTAATAAGGGTTTGCCTTGATTTTTGTAAAAACATGTTAAAACAATTATCGCCAAATTTGTATAACTAAAAAATTAGTTTAACTATATGCCGTCAAAATAATTTAAAGTCTAAGGTAGTGCTACCAGATAGCTACCTTAAAAGATTATTACGGGGTTAAAAAACTCCGTTAAAGAAGTTACGTGTATGTAGCCACTTTTTTCAAATTAAACAAAAAATACTCGAAGCTACAGGCTTTCTACCTTCAGCTAATCATTACCATAGGATTCATCGTTATATTTATAAGTAAAACGAAGTCGCCTTGTTAACTTTTAATAATAAGCGCTAGTTAACCAATAACACTAGGTTTCTGTATTTGTGTTTTCGTAACGCAGACGAGCTTTCATCCATAACTTTTCTTTTTCTGAACTATTTAACTTTTTATCAGCGCCCAGCCCTGCTTTGCCTTCCAATGGCTTAATCGCTAAAGGCGTCAACATCCCCTGCTGATTTTTGCCTAGGCCTATAAAAATAAACATTCCATAAGTCGGAATAGGAGTAGCGGCGTTTATATAGAAAGACCTTTCCCGGTCCAGCCCATCGCCTGTAGCAACTGATAACCTTTGTTTTCTACAGGAAGAGGCTCGTGTTCTCCAGCTGAAACCACAGGGTACACAAACTTTTCATAAACGCCGATATCTAACCCCGGGTATTTTTTCCTGCGCGCAGCAGCCTGTCCTTATACTCTGGGTTAAGGCCTAGAAAAAGTTAAATAATGGTAGTTGGACAAAAGCCAACAGGAGCTAACCAGACATTTAGAGAGCATGATTTATAAGTAAAATAAGGTAGAAGCTTCAGTTCAAGGGATAATTATTCGTCAGATTAGCGGTACATTCAATACTGCAAACATACCTTTACTATATGATCAACTATAAGTTTGTATTATAGGCCGACTATTATTGTATGGGCCCCACACTTACCAATTTCTTCACGATATAAACCATATTTTTTTTTCATAAGCCGCATACTTTCTCTTCGTTCCTCTAGTTTAGAAGCGGGTAAGAACTTTGCATTGCATAAGGTGTAAGTTATTACCCTCACTAGATAATGAAGGAAGCGCAATACTGTCTGAAACATAAACTGGATCGGCTTGTACAACCAAATCACCCGACACTGTGGAATAATTATAAGAAGTTAGCTTCAGAAAAAGTAGCAAAATGTGAATAGGTCACCTCCGGGTTGTTGGCGACTCGTTGCTTTTTCAAAGGCTTGAGCACATTCGCTGCAGCACTTAGTCCCGGTATGCAGATGGACGATAAATTCTACAGCGTCAGCAAAGACGATCTTGTCTAACTCACGCAAGTAAATCTCTCTGCTCTGCGCACGACTAACGCTAATCCGTTTATTATTAACAAAAGTCCCGTGCAAACTGCCCAGGTCCTTAATATAAAAGGTGTTGCGCTCTAGATCAAAACTAATCATAGCGTGCCGCTTGCTGATCTTTTAGATTTTTGTATTAATAAATACTTATAAAGAGAAAATAAGAAACCAACCTGCAGGCTGGAAATGCAAAGTATAGTACCAGGCAGCGACTCCCGACCAATACCCGCACCTTCCCTGCCAAAAACATAAACGGACCCTTTCTTTATATTAAAGCCGTCGGCTAACGCCACAAGCCTTGCGCACAAAATATTTTTATTGCTCTTCTTAAAAGTGCCCCTCTTCCATTTTTTGGGTGAAGAAAAAGGTTCAATATTGGGCTGTAAGCTCCTCTCTTCGTTAAGTTGCAAGGAAACTTCATAAGAGTCTCTTCAAGTAAAGTCTTTACAAAAAATAATATAAAAATGATATATAATAAAACTTCTTCGAATTATAAGTCATGTAGCGCTTGTTTTCGGGATCATAAAAATATTGAGAACTCGGATCGTAATAGTAACGGGTAGAATAGTCATAGTACAATCCGTATTCTTCAATGTAGCACATGCCTTAGTTAAAAAAGGGAGTAATGAGATGAGCGCCTTATAGTAGGCTAGCTAGTTCTCTGTTTCACAGTGAAACTACAAAAGCTAGGAACAAGCACTAAAAACCTGTAGTAGCCATGGTGGCGGCAAGGGCAACGCTTCGCAAACTCTCGGCAGAAACATCTAAAAGGTAAACAATATACACAAAACGCAATAAAGTCAATTTTAAAGAAAACCATTGTTATCATGAAACTGTTTCAATACTTTGTCTAGATGCATACTAAATTCTAGCTGAGGCCGCTCAACGGAAGTTAGGTTACTGCTCGAACTTTTATTACTATAATTTTCTAAGTTAGAATCGAAAGCAGACTTTACTTCTAAATTACTAGAAAAATGGATTTCTCCTATTCATATAAAAGTATTATTATAATATGACTCGAAAAATTAAACAAAAGGGCAAAAGTTTTTAGGGGCACCCAGTGGGAATAGTAGTAAAAAAAAAAAAGCAATAGATATAAAAAATGTATTCGTCCCAAATTAAAGTATATGAAAACAATGAACATAACTCTATTATATTTAAATTCTACCTGACTTGGATGCATCTGAGAATTTATCTTCAATCATTTCACCGGCTTCCATATGTTTATTACTTTTCTTAAGAATTCTAGAATTTTCTTTAGAAACCATACGATGAATTATTTTATGATCGTATTCATCCGAACTTAAGTATCTTCTTTTATAAATTTTGCTTCTTTCGTACTTCTTCTTCAAATCAGAATATTTACTTCTAAGTTTTTGACTATAGTTTTTTTCTTTTTCAAGTAATTTCTTCAGAACAACTATTTCTTTTTTTAAAACTTGACAATCACATTCTTTAGCTGGACCGGCCTGCGACATTGAAAAATTGATGCTAACTCAATCACTGAACTAGCTAAAAGGCCGTTTCGCTTTGCCTCTACCCCACGAGGTTTCAAAGGAATAATTTAACCTACTGTTAATGCTAAACCACCGCTTCGCAAGCTCTTACGATTTGATTATGGCACCTAAGTTATAACCAATAAAGGATAGGGAAGAATTAGAATCTAAAAAATTACTAAGCGCTACACCATAAAATTTATTCTCTTAAGCCGCTCACGTGCGCGCATATCGTTTACATTGTGATCAGTGTAAATCGCTCTTACACGTTCAACCTTTGACTTCTTTTAATTAAGTGCACGCTAATCACCTCATTAAAGCCCATTTAACTGAAAATGCGCTAAATAACACTACTAATCACAAGTCCCCAATAAGAAAATAAAGTTTTGAAGGCTAATAAGTATATCTACTAGCTAATGCATCCTTTAAGTCAACGTGGGTGCAGGTTTTTTATTCAATTTTTAAATTATTAGCTAAGTTGGTTTTATAAAAGGCTATCACAAGTGTAATGTGTCCGTTACGAGCCTACTGTCGTAAAGTTCTCTAAAGATAGTAAGCATCTACAAATAAATTCTTTGAGTCGCTAGAGATAGTTAAAAAAGAACAACAAATAATTAAAATAGCTTAAAACGAGATTGGACTTATTTCTTAACTAATTTAAAGCTGTGCGTAGACGAGAATAAAACTTGTGGTCAAGCCCAGTAAACAACTAAACTTAGAAACCGGTCAATAGTAAAGAAGAGCTAAGCGATAGACACCTCTTAATAGAGGTTAACAGAAACAGACCCTTTACTTTTATGTTCTTATTATAAATAGTATTTCCTGGAGTCCAATCGGATCAAAGAAAATACCCCAATTGTCCCAGCTCTTAATAGAGATTATATCGTACAAACAAGATTAAAGCTCTGTTAAAGCATACAAAATAGTAATTATAAACTTCAAAGAGGAAAGCGCGGTCGGTGCTGGGTGTCTGTAATCCGAAGTAAAACTCTGACAGGTTAAATACGTAATGTCAAATACTGGAACGAGAGTTGTCTTTAAAGCTGAGCGATTATGATCATTGACGCGCAGACTTAATGTGATGGGTTCGATTCCAACCGATGCGGCTCCCGTTTTCGGTCTTTTTTCATTACCGATAAATTCTGTTACGTTACTAGCACGCCCTCTACCTCGAGCTAAAGGAAAAGCAGTCAAGACCGGCTAAGGGCCCTCCTCCTTAGGGACGAACAGTAGCCAATGAGGACACTTAAAATTTGCAGAAGTTCTGCTTAATATTTATTTCTTTAAAAATTTCTTCATTTCAGTGCTAAATAGACGATCCTACACCATTTCTGCGGATCTTACATATTGATAAATATCTTTACGTTCACAGTCTCCCAAGAATATTCTTTTAAGTGGTAGCTTTAAGTCTATTTAAGGTTTTCGGATTAAATTTTTTAGTTTTTGAATAGTAAAAGCAACTTAGATAGTTCACTTTTCACTCAAATAAAAATTTCTTAGAAGTTGTCATCCCAAAAGTATTGAACAATACCCTTAGATTTTCCATTACTGTTTGGTAAGATACCTCCTCTCTTTGAGTCTAACAGGAAAAATAAAACAGTATACTAAAACACTTGAACAGAGATAAATACAATAAACACAAAAACACAGAATATATAAACACAACAAAACAAGCCATCACTTCGTAGGTAAAGTGATCCCTGAAAAACACTGTAGACCAGCCAGTAAAAAAATAAAGGAAATTAGGAATTACTTTTTTATTTTGCCTACAAAATAATTTGACCCGCTTTATTAATAAAAGCTAACCTGGTAGAATTAAATTTATTATACAAATATGGAGGCAGTATTTGACCTTTCGAATAGAATTACTCGAGATAACCCTTTATAGGTTACTGGTTCCTGTGTTCACCACTTGTCGCCTAAGTCAACTTAGTAATTTCGCAGAGAAAAACAACTCTATTTTAACCCCCAGAGTTTTCTCCGTTAAAATTTACTCTATCGACAATATTTTAAATCATAAACAAAAGACTATCTTAGTGATTGGTTTAACTTGGAATTTTGAATTGTTATTTTTTGTTAATTTTGTAAAGTATATATAGAAAGGTTAATAGTAATAAAGGCTCTCCAAATGAGATGAAGAGCAAAGCGCTTTTAGTTGCTAAGAAACGCGTCCCCTTGTTAGCGCCCTTAACCTTTGATGACGTGGAGATTTCGTGGTGTTCTTAAGCGAATACTTGGAGCCACCACTGACAACAAACTTCTTCTAGCAGCCGCGCGTAGATTATCTAGCGGCGAAGGTCAAAGCAGCAACTAAGGCGCTTTACCCTTTATTATGCAATGAGAGCAAGCTTCCTCTACGAAACACGATTGTATCTGTCTTACATCCAGCCAATGATAACATACGTATCTGCTGTCTGGGTCTACGTCTCCACTGCAATAGCGTCGGTATTTCAAGTGCAGAACAAATTGCTGGGCGTAATGAGAAACACGCCATGGTTTGTGCGAAATGAAGCTCTTTACAGGACCCTTTGGACGTCGTCTTTCAACGTAATGCCAACGCCCTTTACGACAGGCTAGCAAGGCACACTAATCGCCTATTGGTGAGTAAAGTTATTTCCAGCCATGGGATCGCATCCCACGTGACGCGAGTTAGCTCTGGTTTTTGTTTGTTAGTGTCAAGAAAATAATGACATTAGTTTGGACTAAAAGCTATTTTGTAAAAGTCTGCGATCACTTCTGATTGAGAGCTCGAGTATTCAAAGTTTTTTGACTCGATCGAGAACCAGGAGCTATCATTTACAAATAAATAAAGACTCCCTAATTGCTTTCCCCTTCCGGTGAGGAGCTCAAAAAAATCGGGAGCTATGGTTAACAGTGGTGCTGGCAGGTGTCTCTAGGCGGCCTCGAGACTTGTGCCTAAGACTGCTTCTCCTGGTGGAGATTTTTTGGAGGTTTTCTACCACACTAGGCTCAATGGAGGAACCTGGCCTGATATTTTTCCTTTTTTTCGGTCTTTTGGGAATTATAATGGTGCAAACCCTTTGGGGGCCTCCTTACCCACTTAGGTCAAATTAAGCAGTATATTAGGCCTTCTTTTATGGAGAGTCAGACGGTAGTACGCCAAGTATTAAAAAAAAAATTAAAGGTTGAATTGGTTTTTTCCTCATTCATTTTCTTTCCTTTTTAAATTTTTCATTTGCTTTTTTAGTTACCTTTTTATTACGTTATAAACACGAATTTGATCCTTTTTGTCTTTTCCATAATATCCTCTATTCCATTCTTTTTTTTTTAAATAATTTACTTGATATATTAAGTCCTTCAATTTTTTCTCTGTTGCTGCTCTCGATATTTCAAATAGTTCTTTGTTTGTTATTTTTATACATTTTTACTTACCTACTAAAGGCAGAAATATCTAGCAGATTCTACTACATGGCAAATGCTCCGGAAGCCTTCACAACTTCGTTAAAAGTTAATTGATATTAAACTAACTTGTAAACTCTGCAATAGGCATTTAAATAATTATGAGCAGCGGCGGGTTATCTATAATACTCTCCAGTAAGTATTTTCTGCACACAAGTTGCTATCTTAAACTAAGAAGGCCCAAACTAACTCCGTCCACATAATTAACACAAAGCTCGTTAATTAGCCAAACTTTTTGAAACTTATACGATAACACAGGCGGCTCTGGAATAGAGCGACAGCGCTACAAACCATCACTCATTACACAGTGCTTGCTTCCGTGGCTTTTAGAGAAATTGACTCACTCGGACAGGAGTAGTGCCCTGTGTAACTTAGCAAGTCTCACCAAACTTAGAGCAATGGCTCAACAGAATCTGGCTTATTATAAAAACAGCTTCGAAAGGCGAAAGTAGTATTCATCGCGAATCATTAAAGTACCAAAGTTAGCCAATCAACAGAGCCATACGAGCCTGGTCAAACATGAAGACACCAGGCTCGAGGCGTGTCAATGACAATAACGTACGCTTTGAGATAGGGAATGTAGCATCTCAAAGGGCTAAAGCAGTCGACGCAATTTTACCATTTTTAAGGGCTTCATATTTTTGATACGTGCGTAACACAACTCTAGGCCCTCCAAAGTAATGTCTGATTCTCGAACCCTTATATTGCGTAAGGAAGGTACCATAGTCACGCTGCACCAGGTTTAATAGCGTGTTAAAGTCAAAGTTCATTAGCCTATCAATATAATACGCTACTAGTGTTAATAAATGGGTTCAATTATTTAAAGTGTACTAGTTATGTTTTTCTAAGAATGTTAATAACAGACAGAGAGCTCGCTAAAACATTAAAGTTAACCCTTTTGAAGAGAAGAGGGTGACATGACCCGTTGCAATACTAGTCAGCTTTCAGACATTATTTCACCTTTGGATGGAGCTCGCTTATCTACCCTAGATCGAAACCGTCGGGAAGTCGCATGGACTAAGGAGTCGGCTGACGCGAATTCCATAAGTAGGCGTGCCTGTTATAAGTGCTTGTAGGATGGACAGTCTGGGGACACGCCAGCAAAGAGTGAACTTGACTTTGCTAAAGTTCCAAGATATAGCTAACGGTCAAATTCCTAAATAAGGACATAATCCTTTCACTAATAAGTCGATCTTCACAGTTGCCTAAAGGATCTTTAAAGGATGACTGAAGCCTAGCTCGCTGTGATCGAGGCTAATGCTAAGATTGCTTGCGCTAGGCAAACTTTTAAAAGACA